AGCCCACACGCCACAACTAAGACCAGAAAAATAAATATTTATATATATATATATATATATATATATATATATATATGTATGTATATATAAAACAAAAAAAGAATAAAAATCAATTGTTTTAAAAGAAACACAAGCATTTTTCTAGTTAATCAGTATGTTCAGTTCATGAAAACAAACAAACCTGAACCAGCGGGCTTGGAGCCACTCTCGGTAAGTCTGGCTCCACAGGACCCCGCTGGGCAGCAGGGACAGGTCCCTGGGTCCCCACACTGCACATGGGCACTTGCACTGGCCTCCCAGAGGGCATCTACCAGGACAGCAACCCAGGTGGGCCTGCACCCCAGGCTCAGCTCGGTCCTACCTACTGCCCGTCCTTCAAGTGGCTGTGCCTGGCCTCAAAGCTCAGAAAATGGGGTTTTACATTCATCCAGATAAACGTCCCCATCCACACACTTGATCCCATCACGCCACACAATTCAATGGAGGCTGCTCCTGAAATGCTCACGGGGGCACGTGAAGGGTGAGCTGCCACGTACTGAGTTGTGCAGCTCGTCACAGGAAGCTTCGGCGCCTGCCGCTTCCAATGCCAGCACGACACAGCTTTAGGGTTGAAACCTCACATGGCTACACCTAGGATCACAATGAGGCAAAATCCCCATTTACGGCACACTTGCAAGGAGGAAAGGAAGCAGCCACCCCAAAGAAGCCAAGTCCATTTTTCTTTTTCCCAAGTAGAACACCATTGCTGAATGACACCCCATCCAAGTAAACTTACAAACATGTTTATTACAATGATTAAGCTTTAGCATCAAAGAAAAAGGTTTTCTCTCTTTCTTTCTCTTCTTTTTTCTTGAATTTATTTAAAGGATCTCATTCAGGCGTAGAATCTGAAAAATCTGGATCCAAAATGCCAAATAGGGTTGGCAGCAGTCCACTGCCCTCTGTGCTCTGGGAATTCAAGAGAATAAATAAATAATTCTCAGAGCTGAGAGCAAAGTCTAGTCCAGGCCAGTTTTAATTAGAAATAACCCACAGGCGAGTGGATTTCGGTGCGTCCCACAGCTGCTGGACTGCTCTGGGCCAGGTGCGGCCTCTCCGAGTGGAGGGGCCAGTGACGCTGCAGTGGACAACTCGTCACCCACCATCCAGAGGCCTCGTCACAGCCGACAAGCCCCTCAGGGTCGTCCTCGTTTGTCCTGGGAGATGACAGACTTCCCAACAACACTCACGCCAGTGCCAAGTGGCCTAAGGAATCTTAAGTTATTTTTTAAAGCACATGATCCGGATATAAAATAATGTGGGATTTATATGCTTCTAACGGTTATTTTAAGTATCTGAGGTACAAAGTACTTGTAGAAGTACTTTATTACTCGGAACGTTAACCGATTTCTCATTGTTTTTTGGAGACTTCCTTTTCTGTGCTCTACTACCCACACTTAAGACACACGTTTCTCATTTACTTATGTGCTTATAAATTAGTCATTTTCTAACTTAAATATACACTTTTTTCATTGATATAGTAGGGTTGAATTCTTGACCTTTACTTCTGCCCAAATTTTCTTGTTAACAGCTTTCGATTACTGGTAATTTTTATTTCTCATTTTTAGAACATTCACGGAGGAAAATGCCAGACTTAGTATCTTCTTTGAAAATCATTCATAAACAACCTATTCTAAACTATGTCTAAGAAAACAAAGGAGTGGCCTTTCCTTCTATTAATCTAACATTAACTTGTATAAGTAATGGTTTTATTAACGATAGTAATAAATCTGCTGCCAACATACAATAAGTGTATTCTATAATGGGTTGATTTTATGTCACAATACGATCCTTTAAAACCAGAAAAGCTAACTGAGTTGGATTAACTAGATTACACACCTGAGTCTGTATTAGAAAACTTTACTCTGATTTCACCACTTGTCAATGCACACGGAGGTCTCTCCACGATGACAGCTTCTCCCCAGCGGAGGGAAGCGCTCTGGGTTTCCTGAACGGGAGAGTCGCTAACACGCCCCACGAGCCCCCCCGTCACCGGAATGCTGGAGAGAGAAGGGGCCTCCCTGCAGTCTGGAAGTGCCTTCCCCCAAGCAGCCATCAGCGCCATCGTCAGACGGGACGTGGCCCACGAGTCAGGCCGCGCTCAGCAGCAGGCCGGGCGTGGCCATGGCGGGTCCATCACTGGCCTGCAGGAGAGGACAGGGCTGGTGGTCCCTGCAGACCTGCCCTTCTCCCCCATCCTCCTTCTGAAAACGGGCAGACTGGAAACAGCACAACTCTGTGACTCAGCCCGGTCACCCCATGGTGTCAAACGAGGACAACCTGCCCGCCAAGGTCCGTCCTCCCCCCTGGACCTGACACCCAGGGAAGCCCCAAACGAGCAGCCTCAGGGTCCAAGCACAGCTGCAGCGCCACCTGCAGCCCCAAGGACCCGTCCTCGTCCGCCCAACCTCATGGAACGGCCACAAACCACCGACGGTGCAGTATGAGCGGCACATCCCTGGGTCCTGAAGACGACCTCTTCCCGACACAGGTGACAAAGTGACACGCCACCACGAGAGCCATCCTTACTCAGGGCAGGAAGCCTGTCTCACTCTCGCCTCACCTCTCAGAGCAACAGTCCTCGAGGGCGGGGCCCGGGGGCGCACTTGGTTATACCTGAGACCCCACGGGTTTGGCAGGCAGAGCCAAGGAGGCTGCCAGCCTTCACGGCATGAGACAGCCTCCCCGACAGAAACCTTTCCCACACAGATCCCACAGGTCCCATTCATGGGCGTGAACAACATGCTTCTAACTCTCTGAGCCCAGAATCTTACTCCATTCTACACTCATACACAAAGTATTTTTGGATAGTTTCAACGTAAGGTGAATTTTCCCGGAATTTCACTATTGTTTGAGTCTAGAAAAAACTACACTTTGCTTTATGTGAAACTTCATCAAGAACTGCTCATTTTGAAATATTCCACCACCAACTGGTATCTGAGTCCCAGGGTGACAGCCCTCCCAGCTGCCAGCTCTGACATGGGAGGTTTGGTCCTATTCACTAACTCCTTATGTAGTTCCCCCAGCCTTTTCCATATCAAAATATATGTTATTTTATTATACATGACCATCCTTTTATTTCTCCTTACATTATTATTAAGACATTACATTAGTTTTTAAATTACATTTTCTAAACATTGCATTTTAGGATATGAGGGCATTACAAAAAAATTATTCTTTAAAAAAGGCACTGGCTGGGACTTCCCTGGTGGCGCAGTGGTTAATACTCCGCGCTCCCAATGCAGGGGGCCCGGGTTCGATCCCTGGTCAGGGAACTAGATCCCACATGCATGCCACAACTAAGAGCTCGCATGCCACAACTAAGGAGCCCGCCTGCTGCAACTAAGATCCAGCACAACCAAATAAATAAATAAATAAGTAAATGGACAACCAGCTTCTTCAAAAAAAAAAAAAAGGTACTGGTCCTGGTAGGTCTGAGCCTCACTGCCTGCAGAGAGGACACACTCCACAAATGTTCACTGGGAGAAAAGATACGGCTGACGCATCAGGACAAGGTATAAACACAGGGTGAATCACCACGGACCAACAGGCCTTCCCTTTGGGGACAGAGACCCCTGGGGTCCCCCACCCCGGCTGGAGAGCAGCTTTCGGGGCCACGCAGGGTCTCCAACACCCCAGGACACTTCTGAGAGTTAAAGGAGGCCCACACTGCAGGCGTCATCCACGGCTGTCCCAGGCAGACCAGGACAGGCAGCCACCTTGACACGAGGCACATACTTGAGCACCCTCCTCAATCCCACGTGCCCCAGGGCACACGTGGGTGGACCTGCAGATGCGGCAGCAGCCTGGCCGTGGCTCCCCCTCCTCTGAGCCCCACCACCCTCCTCCGCAGACACACGGGAGAGAGGCAGCAGTTGGCCCAGAGAGCCACGACAAGACCCTCAGTAAAAGCCCCAAGCTCTGGTCAAGCGCAAGGACAAGTGTTGCCATCGTCACACTGAGACTTCCTCGTAGCCCACCGTGGGCAAGGATAAAAACACCAGTGGAGGGCTTCCCTGGTGGCGCAGTGGTTGAGAGTCCGCCTGCCGATGCAGGGGACACGGGTTCGTGCCCCGGTCCGGGAAGATCCCACATGCCGCAGAGCGGCTGGGCCCGTGAGCCATGGCTGCTGAGCCTGCGCGTCCGGAGCCTGTGCTCTGCAACGGGAGAGGCCACAACAGTGAGAGGCCCACGTACCGCAAAAAAAAAAAAAAAACACCAGTGGAACTGATGGAAGGAGCCGCCCACGACCTGAGCTTCCGCTCATCTCAGCAGAGCCCATGACGGTGCCCTGGACCAAGGACAGGCAAACAGGTCAGAGACAGAGGCACCCTTCCCATCGGCCCACACTCTCCAGAAGCTTTGATTCAAACGGCACCTGAACTACTACACGTCACTACCGTTAGGCTCTAGATAGAAAAACAAAATACAGGCACAATAAAAACTATAGACACGAATGGAAAGTTTGATATACTCAAGTGAAATGTATAAAAAGCTACCTATGGGGCTTCCCTGGTGGCGCAGTGGTTGAGAGTCCGCCTGCCGATGCAGGGGACATGGGTTTGTGCCCCGGTCCGGGAGGATCCCACATGCCGCGGAGCGGCTGGGCCCGTGAGCCATGGCCGCTAAACCTGTGAGTCCGGAGCCTGTGCTCCGCAACGGGACAGGCCACAACAGTGAGAGGCCCGCGTACCGCAAAAAAAAAAAAAGCTACCTATGAAGAAAAAATTCTCTCAAGACTAGCCAGATGGAACAGAAAAAAAAGAGAAGAAACGAACGTACAGCTTCAAAGCTCCGGTGGGCCAGTTCCAAAGGAGAGATGCACCAGCCTGGCTTATGTCAAAATGAAACTGTGAGGACGACCCCAGCCGCCCCGCAGAGGCCCCGTGTTTCCTTCCAGTCTGACTAGGATCCCGCCCTGAGAGCACCAGGGGGCATGGGCCCGGGGAGGAGGTTCTTACCATCGCACTTTGTTGCAGGTCTGGGTGGCGCCGAGAGGAGAGCCCGCCACCATGGGCACCTGGATGGGGCTGTGCTGCTTGTTGGTGACCAGATCCAGTTTCTCTTCCAGTGATTTACATGTGGCCTCCAGAGCCTGCAGCTTGGCTTCAATGCTATCCAATCGCAAGCAGATTGTCTGGTTAATGGAATACAGGAATGACTGCAAGTGAAAAAAAGGAAAGCTTCAGGAAGGGCATCCTGAACTCCAAGGAGATAATTCCAAGGAACATCAAACAGTTATTTCCCAGACTCAGCTGTATCTGTTCCCACAGAACGATCCTCGCACTTCAGCTCTTTAGTTATAAGCCAGAAGCATTTCACTAGACAAGCTCGACCTTGTGCACTCACAATGTGACTACTTAATCGGGCTCTTCTCTGTGTAGTTGCGATTCTTAGTTACACTTAAGTCCGTATAACACAAGATGTAAGTGGACGTTACAACGCAAGTTTCTATTCATCAGTAAACTTACACATAAAACTGGTCAAATTCTACAATGAAAACAGATGACATCCAACATCAAAACGGCCCGGAAACCCGCCTGCTCGTGTTACACTCCCCCGAGCCCCACCCCCAAGGTGAAATGTGGCAATGACTCTCCCGCGCGTGGGAGCAGCACGCCTGCCACCTAGTGGCCACAGAAAGAGCAGCCTCGCCTTCCACTGCTGCCACCCAAGTCCCGCCGACCACAGGGACGTGCGTGGCTCCAAAGGCAAGGAACGGCTCAGACAGACACCGGCCAGGAGGCTTGCCCCTCCCACGGCGGCTGCCCCGGCCCTGGGGCGGCGGGGCACAGAGGGAAGCAGGCTGCTGCCCCCGCTGGCCTCACCAGCCGATACTGGGAAACGGGCGCCAGCCCGGAGCAAGCCCCTGGGGCATCCAACCGCCCAGCTCAGCAGTGAGGGGGGCAGGGGGGGCAGCAGCTGAAATAGTGAAGAGCTCGTATTTTACCTTGTCTCTCTCCTTTTCTGCCCTTGACTTCAAAGGGAAAAATGCCCAGAGTGCCAGTCACATCAGCAGGAAGGGGACAGACCGCGGAGAGCAGACGGGCACAGGGGCCATTCGGAGCAGACCGGGACCCCAGCGCACGGCGGCACGGAGGCCGGCCCCTCTGCCCACTGGTCGCGGCTGACCCACTCCGGCGGCCGCTCCCCTTCCTCACGGGAGGTGACCCCACAGCTAGAGCCACGTGGTCCATCACACCGTGCGGCTGGAGTCAAGGCCCAGGAGGCGGGGAAAATGGATACTCTTATTCAGTGCTTTGAACAGACTGAGCTGATCTTCTGAAGAAATTAAACACATCTGTCTAACTGCCCGGTCTGTACGGCAGCAAGGGCAGCAGTGGGGTAAATAAAACCCACACACTGTCCCAACAACCTGCTGCGTCTCAAGCAATCACCCCCCTGACAAGTCCCATCGCGGGAGAGCTGACACATACGGGAGAGGGCTAAATCCCACACCCTCCGCTGACTCCCCCGCAGGAGCACGGGCCGTGGAGGCACGGCAGGCCGTGCCAGGGTCATGTGGAGACACAGCGCGGGCGGCCCATCCCCTGAGAGTGACATCGAGGCAGCGCCCGAGGCCCACTCTGACCTAAGACGTCGCGACAACCACTAGCCGCTGGCTGAAGTCTTGAGATCAAATCACCGATGACCCCACTATTTTTTATAATTTGAAGACATCAACCATGCGGCTCCCAAATTCCCTAAACACAGTGAAACCTCATCGTCTTAATTCTGAATTAGAAGTGATTCTGCCTGGAGTTTGGACAAACATCACTGTTAATACACTAATAACACAACTTCACAAATTAATAAAACAAAGAAAGGCAGAGAATAGTACTTTTAAATAAGTCTTCTATATACAAGGGATATTAACCAAAAATCATCCAAATCTATTCCTTTTCAAGAGCTCTGAGCAACCTAAGTGTCCAGCGACAGATGAATGGATAAAGAAGATGTGGCACATATATACAATGGAATATTACTCAGCCATAAAAGGAAACGAAATTGAGTTATCTGTAGTGAGGTGAATGGACCTAGAGTCTGTCATACAGAGTGAAGTCAGTCAGAAAGAGAAAAACAAATACAGTATGCTAACACATATATATGGAATCTAAAAAAAAAAAGGTCATGAAGAACCTAGGGGTAAGACGGGAATAAAGACACAGACATAGAGAATGGACTTGAGGACACAGGGAGGGGGAAGCTGGGGCAAAGTCCGGGAGTGGCATGGACACATATACACCACCGAATGTAAAATGGATAGCTAGTGGGAAGCAGCTGCATAGCACAGGGAGATCGGTTCAGTGCTTTGTGACCACCTAGAGGGGTGGGATAGGGAGGGTGGGAGGGAGACACAAGAGGGAGGAGATATGGGGATATATGTATATGTATAGCTGATTCACTTTGTTGTACAACAGAAACTAACACAGCATTGTGAAGCAATTATACTCCAATAAAGATATATTAAAAAATTAAATTAACCAATTTAAAGTGAAAAAAAAAATAAAGAGCTCTGGCAATCTGGTGAGCACACTTTTCCTAGCACACGGGTGCCGGGTTCAAGCCGGGGCCTGAGGCCCTGCTCGCCGACCAGGGGACGGGGCTGAGGCGGGGGCGCTTTCACTGCACCTTATCCACATCTGACTGCTGTGCTGTTTACCACACACGCCTCTTTTGTGATAAAATTATAACTGCACTTTATTTTAAGACATAATGTGGGGTTACTGAAGCAGCGGCCCTCTATCCATTAGTATGAAATAGAAATTTAACTGAATGTGTCTTTAAACCACGCCACGTATCTTTAAGCTCACGCTGCTTCTCCTTGTTAAAAAGATGAGCCAGATGTTTCTAAACACAGCCCTACAGAAGCAGAGGGCACAGGAGAGGTCGCTTTGGTTCTCTGCACTGCTGTCCTAACTTCTCACAAGTGCTGGTGTTTATCTCCGTGGCTCTGCAAACTGCAGACCAAACAAGCAAACCCAAGAACCAGCCATCACCCACGACTGACTCTGTGGTTTCCCAGACCCCATCCAGCAAACTTTAAAATTCAGGTGACTTAAACGATAGGCACAAAAGTGCTTCATCACTAGTAGAAAATATTCGCCACAGGAATTGTGCACTTTCCCTCCGTGCACGATAGGTCCACGGGTCTACGGAGGACGAGGCCTCATGTGGCAGCGATCCCAGTTAAACCACGTGATTCTTCAAGGGAAAACGTCATGCCTTTATGCATTCGTGGGGGGTTGAACAGTGACTCCCAGAAATGATACGTCTACATCCTCACCCCCAGAACCTACAAACGTGGCCTTTCTTGGAAACAGTATCTTTCCAAACGTAATCAAATTAAGATGAGGTCATCCTAGGTTAGGGTGGCCCTAAATCCAATGAGACTGCCCTTATAAGAGACAGAAAAGGAGAGACACAGACAGGGAGGAGAGGCCACGTGAAGACGGAGGCAGAGACTGGAGGGAAGCGGCCACGAGGCAAGGGACGCCTGGGGCCCCCAGGAGCTGAAAGAGGCAAGAGGGACACTCCCCCAGAGCCTCTACAGGGAACTCAGCCCTGGTGACAAACTGATTTCAAACTTCTGGCCTCCAGGACTGTGAGAGAGTACATTTCTATTGTTCTAGGTGCTCCCCGCTCTGCCCCGCACTGTGATAATTCGTTACAGCAGCCCCACATAAGATACGAACAAAAACATACATTAACATTTTTACCTTTATAGAAGGGTCCTGGCAATTGCTCTCTAGTCGCTGACGTTTCAAAGCTGGTTCATCTTCGTCTGTCACGACATGATTCTCCAGTACAACTGAAAATTAAAGGCAGAGACAAAAACACTTTAATTCAAAAAGTTTTACAGAGCTGTTTAATATTAAGACAGGAAACAGTTCTGACACCTGAAGTGTAGAGGGGTCACCTTGAGGTGACATGAGAAATGGCACAACCTGCTTCACATTTTACTTTTTACAGGTTTAACTTAAAATTCTCAGTCAGGCAGAAAACAGGATCTCTCCCTAATCTCAAGAAAAACTGAGATACCGGATAAATTTTTTCACTAATGCGCCACTGAGCTGACCCCAACACCGAGACAGCAGGCTTTTCACTCAACGCTCTATCCGGCTTCCCTTTTCTGATAGAATCCAATCGCTAATAATGATTTCTTCCCGACTTTAAAATAAAGTCTTGTCAGCCGGCCACCTCATTCCAAAATCAAAGCCACTCTCTGAATATTACATTTTCTGAGGTGCTAATCATCAAACTTGTCTCCAACGTAACATGCTAAGTTACAGGGAAAGCTGCTTCCCCGGCCAGTGTGGCTGAAATCAAGGCCTCCCACCAGCACCTTCCAAGGGGTCTTCAGGGCTTCTCCACGGATGAGCAACTTGGCCCAAGTTCAAGGCCAGCACCACATGGTCCCAAACCCGGTGCCTTTACACCTGTATGTGCCAGGTGATTCGTCGCAAAACTCTAAAATGTAAAGACGCTGAACAGACCTGCGACTCTAACGTGAACCGTTCAGGGGTCCCAGGCGAGACCAGTAAGCTGGTTTCCAGAGCTAAGTTGTCACCCAAAGCTCTACCTCACAGAAACCAGCCACGGGCCAACGATGCCAGAAGCATCCTGCATACCAGAGGGCCCTGCATAGTACACTGTGTCTCCACACCTCAAACACCTCCATGAAATGTGTGGGAATGAATTGTCATTAAGGTAAAAAAGGAAAAATCCGTGGCTACAAGTGCAAAACACAGGTTCTCAGAACCTTCATCGAAGCCTACCTACTCCCACGGGACGCTGGTAATTAAGAAAGGACTGGGAGGACGGGGAGACTCCGGCAACCGCTAGTCTGATCCTTTTAACTTGCTGAAATCCAGTCCAGAGAGGTTAAGCGACTTGACCAGGGTCACACAGCTGGTTTCCTGTAACTACAGGAAGGAGACTCCGAGCCCTTGGCAGAGCGAAGCACCTCAGGCTGTAAGCAAAGGGCAGCAGAGCAGATGAGGGAAAGGAGACACAGCCCGTGGCGGGGACAGGGGCACACACCTGGGTTCCGGCGCTCACTTTCTACGGGCCGCGGGGCTGCTAGTTTACTTTCTTCTTGGTCCTTTCTTACTTTGTTTTTTATCATTCTGCATGCATTACTTTTAAAATTAGACAAAAGAACTCAGTGTTCATTTTAAAGCCATCACGATCACCTGCAATGACAGGCCCGATGAAATTTACAATCGTACGTGTGTGCAGATGGGCAAAGAGACTGCAGCCATGTGGTGAGTGCGTGCAAAGTCACAAGAACCTAAGCATTTTGATTTTAAATGGAAATCAGAAAAAAACGGAAGGACGTACATGCCAACAATTTAAAAGCAGTTCTATCACTAGGATTATGGGAAACTTCTATTTCTTCTACTTGCTTGACTATACGGTTTAAGCATAACAAAGTTCACATTTCAGAAATGAGGAAAAAAATCATCTCAATCTTAAACCCACTCAGGACAATCGTGTGGGATGCAGCACAGTGCTTGCCGGTGTTGGGGGAGCCCTCTGGGGCCAGAGATGGCAGGCCTCCTGTCTACGGAAGCCTCAGGGAGCCCTGCACACAGTAGGTGTTCACTACACAGCCACAGCTATACTTCTCAGTTAGCTAAGGAACCCACATGGAACACCACCAGGATCAGAAGTGACTTCTCTAACCCTTCCTTGGACTGTAATCTACAGAGAGAGAATTTAATTGGGAAGTAAACTGTCAGAATGTTAATAGTTCTAAAAATGCTTAAAATCTATATAACTGGAATATTTTTCTTCTACAGCATCGCAGTGTGAGTGTTTTCTAAAGAAACGGTCATCCACCCACCAAAATATGAACAGCTGTTTTTAAAATTGTGATGTACAGTGACAGTGCTGCGTTTTTTCTAGTTCACTGGTTTCTGAGGTGTGGTGCTAAATGAGGTCAAGTCTTCACATTCTCGCTCTAAACAAACTGGTTCACTTTCACAGAGAAAACTGGGGTTAAACAGCTACATTCAGACACCCTGACTTGGCTCAAGGATCTGACAGGTCTTGATCTTGCCAGTTACCAGGTGACAGTGCTTCTCATAAACAACTCAGAGGCAAAATGACAAAAACTGACTAAAGGATAGCGTTCGTGAAAGGGTGCCCCAATCTTCTCTTTGTGGCTGCTTGTTCAATCCCGAAACCACGTGCTACCCACCCTTCCACGTATAACTACTTTCCCAGTGAAGCTTTTTCAACTAACACAGCAAAGCGATCACACAAGATAGACACCGTCATACTTTCTTATGAGATTTCTGAAAATTCTCTTTTCTGTGGGGAAAAAAGTTGGCATTTCAACTCTACTATTCCAGAAAGAATAACCAGACAACCAAAACACTATGTGATTTAATTTGTATATGCTTGTTATTTCAAACTTAACAGAAATATAAAACTTTACAAAAAAAAAAAAGGAGGACCCTTACTAAGAAATCTTTTTATAAAATAAAGTGCTAACAAAGTATTTCATAGGTGAAGTAGTTCAAGATGAAGTTCTTGAAATTTAGGGTTTCCCTTATAACGTGTCTAATATCTAGTTAAGGTTCCAAAGTAGATGGGTGCCTTTAACGTGACTAAGGAAAATTACCAGCCCTGGCAAAAGGGCAGGAAAGTCACCTCACAGAATAATCGGATAAAGTGTGTCTTACCAAAACTCTGAACATACACAGCAGTTCAGCTTCTGGGAACTTACCCTACGAAAGTATTTGCTGCAGTACGCAGCAAGGACCTTTGTAGCAGGGTGTACTTAAAAGAAAAACAGTGTTAACGATGTTAACAGCGTGCCCAGGGAAGAGGTGGATGAAGGAGGGAGCAGCGTGCATGGAACACCTCGCAGGTGTCCACGTGCAGGGCAGACTGTCCACAGCAGCGGAAGAGGCCCAGATGTGACCACAGGGGGCTTTCAAGGGGAGCCAGGGGAGCTGGGGGCAGGGCAGGAAGAGGGGCCGAGGCTGGACAGCCACGTGTGGTGCACAGGTGGGCCGAGGGGAGGCGGAGGGACCACCGGGATGGGCATGGGGCTGACAGAGCTCACGCGCTCTGGTCCGGGTTTTTCATACGGGGCGCGCACCGCTTTTTCTCTTGCTTTACTGAAGGGAGAGGAAACTTGTGGAAGCGCTTTGGGCTTTTACAGACTCGGGGGAGCGCCGGCTCCCTATGCCCGCGCTGTGTACCTGGGTGGTCGGGACTCAGCTCCTCCACGGCAATCTGCACCACATCCGCCAGGTCCTGTTCTGACATCATCCAGGACGAGAGGAGAGTGGCCGGTCAATGGGCAGGAATCAGACTCACCAGGCACGGGGTTTCTGTCACCTAAAAACAAAAGCCAGGATAGCGGAGAGGGAGATGAACGATCCTGACCTTGAAATGCTGGAAACTGCTAGCCACGTTCTGTATCCAAGAGGACACCAGAAGCCTGTGGGTTTTTTAAATATAGGGTTCTTCTTGCCCCAAACCACCAAAAGGTTAGTGTCCTTTGAGAACTGAGAAATGGCCCCCAAACATTTCTCGCTGCCTCTGTCCTTCAGCACCAGACTAGTCCCCACCTCGCCAGTCCATTCCCACACTGCCTCCTAAGTCACCTTCCTAAGAGAGCTAGAACGCGTCACCCCAAGCCAGACGTCCCTGGGTCCCCTTCTTGCCCACGGAACACGTCCTGTCCCTCGCCTGCCCCTGCCGGCTCTCAGATCCACTAGACACACCACACCCCGGAGAACACTGAAAACATACCTCCCGAATTTTACCCAAAAGGACCCTTCCGCCAAGGCTGTCCCCTCGCCCCATTTCCACTCCTCGCGGCATCCTCCCCTCAGGCAGGCAGAGAGCGGCAGCTCCTGGGAGGACTGAGCCCAGCACCGGCCCCCTGCCCCAGCCCGGGGCCTGTCCGCCACCACCCTGCCGCCGCAGAGGTGGTACCACATCTGCAACACAGTGCGTTCCTTTCTTCCTGATCCTCAAACGCTCTGATTAGGCCTAGACACACCTTCTCCAAGACAGAAATGAGGCCACGTCACTCCAAATAGGACCCATCAACACAGAGGTCTAAATGCAGTACTTGCAGACAGGATGCCCGGAGATCAGGAATCAATGCCACCATAATACTTTTATCATTCTACACTTTATATTTTAATTACCTATAAACAAGTATTTATGAAAGAAGTAATGTATCTTCCCCAACTGGACTGCACGTTCCCTGAGGGCGGACAGCAGGCACCCAACTCTACAGCACAGCGCCTGCCCCGCACGTGCCCACCCCCACCATGCCCACGCAGGGCAGCTGTATTAAGAGTTTCAGATCACCTAGTCTCAATCAGGAGTCTACTGACAGCTCCTTTAAATGGCTAAGTTCCAAAGGCATAAAATTAAATTCGCAGGTTCCACACCTGTTCGTAAATCCTATAAAGCCAGATTTAAATTCTACAGCTTAAACGGTAGCAGCGCCAGGATTTCTTAGGGACAGCCATTTGCAGAAGGAGCCAAGCTCCTCCCTTAAATTTCCCTTCACAAAACGAACACAACACCTTCACGTAGGTGCAGTCCATCAAATGGCCGCGGTGTGTTACCGCCATTTAGACACCTCACGCGAGACTGAGGAAAGCACGAAAGCACCAAACGTCCCTTCCAGAGCAGACGCCCATGACAAACAACTGGGCGGGGCCGCAGAGGCACTGCCGAGAGCCCTTCAGAAGTCCAGCTGGGGAGGGGTGGCAGTGACAGACAAACAACTGGGGGGGGGGGGGCCCGCAGAGGTACTGCCGCGAGCCCTTCAAAAGTCCAGCTGGGGAGGGATGGCAGTGACAGAGATTTTTAATCTCTCAAATGAGGACAGCGAACCCAGGTCAGGGTCTGTAACAAGCTGAGAGATCGGGTGTTTCCTGAAGAGCCCCAGAGCATGAGCGAGTGGGCAAACCACTGACAGCACGAGGTCCTCAAGGGTGCAGCAAGGAGGAAGCAGGGGTCAGCGAGAAGGAAAAAACGGGTCTGCTTGGAAACAGTGGCTGAACCCAGGAGGTGAGCACCACTGGGGGCAGACAAACGCCAGGGCAGCTGCGGAACGGCCACAGGCCAACATTCTGGGCCACGGACGCTCAAAGACTACTCATCCAAAGCTCCCTCCTGCGCTAAACACACTGGAAAGAAATGACTAGAATAGAATACGAAGCATACAGGACAGGGAGAATGAGAGTCTAATTACGGGGGGGAGAGGAGAACAGCCAGGAGAGCGCAAGAAAACAGCTACCACATGTTTTACAACTTTCTAAAAACAACAGAAAATAGAGCTCTAGGACACGGAAATTAGAAAAACTATTCTAAATCTAGCCTTCCTTCCATATATCCAGGAAAATAAATTCCACAGAAAATTAACAAAAGAAAATATTGAGGTCAAATCTCATGCCAAGGTGATATATTTTAAAAGTGAATAGGAGCAAAGTAGCATCACTACAGACAGTTAAAGTATGCTAGAAAGACATGTCCCTAAGAGATGCAAACGCTATCTTAATATTTCAAAACAAACTAATGCTCATGAAAGAAATTATATAAGGCATCACTAACCATGAACCAGCATTAGAAAAACTCAGAAATGAGGGCGGGAAACTCAGAAAAGATTAGAAATATAAGGAAAATAATTTTGGAAATGAAGGCTAAACTAGAAGGAATCCAAGAGCAAGTAAATACAATAAATTACACCGTAAGAAAAACAAAATGGGGGCTTCCCTGGTGGCACAGCGGTTAAGAATCTGCCTGCCAATTCAGGGGACGCAGGTTCGAGCTCTGGTCCGGGAAGATTCCACGTGCCGCGGAGCAACTAAGCCTATGCACCACAACTACTGAGCTTGCGCTCTAGAGCCTGTGAGCCACAACTACTGAGCCTGCAAGCCACAACTACTGAAGCCTGCGTGCCTAGAGCCCGTGCTCCGCAACAAGAGAAGCCACTGCGATGAGAAGCCTGCGCATCGCAACGAAGAGCAGCCCCCGCTCGCCGCAACTAGAGAAAGGTCGCGTGCAGCAATGAAGACCCAATGCAGCCAAAAATAAATAAAATAAAATAAATAAATTTATTTAAAAAAAAAGAAATGAAAGAAAAAAGTTGAAGAAAAAGTAGCTGACAAGCAAAGAGGATGCAACATATGTTTAATAGGGGACTCTACAAAGGAAACCAAAGGAAAGCGATGAAATGGAATACTACAAGCAAATCCGAAAAAACTCTTCAGAAATGAGGAGAAAACATTTGAAACTGCTTATGAAAAAGACACACCATAAACCTGGGGCAGGGCAGGCAGAACAACCAATACCAAGACACATTCTAGTAAAATTATTTAAAGAAAAAAAGAAAAGTTATTTTAGACATCTAGGCAAAAATACTGGACACCTTAAAATGGTGGGGGGCAGGGCAGGTTATCCAACTACAGCAGAAGAAGGGAGACTCACACACACAAGACACTCGAGGAAAGTAACGGGAGCCTTTACACCCAGACAAAGTGAGCTTCAGGTACACAGGCAGCAACTTGTGCCAACATAACGCACTCAGAGAACAGCGCTCCCAGAAACCCTTCCTGAAGAAACTGCTGGAAAACAAGATTCAGAAAACCAAGGTCACTTGGAGAGACAACATATGAGCTGGTCAGTGGTGAGCAGCCTACGTTTACATGGAGAACCGAGACTAAAGGAGAAAGCAGTCTGCAACGGCTCTATGCTCTGACAACGGAGATACAATTTACCTGCTTAGAAATGGGGAGAAAAATTGGGAGAATACACACAAAACAAATTTTAACAATTTTAACAATCACACTGGGTGGTGGCGTGGGAATTCCCTCCGAGAATTTTCCACGCGCAAATGAGGATCTACAGGATATTCCAATTCTGTCACTCCCGATGTCCTGACAAGCAGATCCAGAGGTCGGGCAGAAGAGGTCTCGGGGCTGCGGATCTGACTCCAGGCATGTATTGGAATTGGACATATGAAGTCAGGCGTGTGTGCAGAATCCAGGAGCTGAATCCAGGAGCAGCGTGCCTCCCTACAGCCTACACTGTGAAATACCGCCTCTCACCAAGAGATGAGGGCTTCCTGGAGAAATGGCCAATTCCACATCTGAGGCAAGGAATATGCAAGATAACATCTTGTCATCCCAGATGTAGGGAAGCGATCAAAGACATCAGGGCTGTACCAAAAGGACTCAGAAACCAACTCAAAGATGCCCCTCCTGGCAAAAGGTGGGAAAAAATGACCCTCAACAAGGGTAACCACGTCCATGGGCTGAAAAAGAAATATTTTTAAATTCATTAAACCGGGGGGGGGGGGGGGGGGGGGGGGGGAGGGGCGGCGTCAAAAAGGCCCCTATAAATTAAAGGAGACTTCAATGACAACAACAAACAGGCAAAACTATGATTTTCTCTATTTGTATTGTATTTAATAAAGAGGTTTTTCTTAAGGCAAAATTCAAACAAAGTGGAAAACACTTGTTACACATGCACCAAAGAGCTAATTTCCTTCTTTCACAGCAACAGAAAAAAGACCAATAAAGCTAATCAAAAGGAGGATAAGAATGAGAGTAAATTCACAGGGAAAAAAGTCGCAAAGCTTTTAAGCACGAGAAGACACGACCTCTCAATGCAAATTTCAACCAGCCGCTCAGTGTGACAGGCGTGCTAGAGGCCTGTCAGGACGCAGGCGCTCTTGTGCACATTTGATGGGAGCTTAGCTCTGAAGACCAATAGGCAACAGGCATCAAAGTGCTGCTGCCCGGCCCTGACCTTCCCACCAAGGAATCCTCCCAGCACAGAGAGTCACACGTTTGTGCAAATATCTACCCACCAGAGAAACAAAAAACCAAGGCATTGCTTTTAGCAGCAAAAGAATGGATGATGCAACCTGAATGCTCTTTTAAAAAAACAAGTCTGGCACAGCTGAACAATGAGAGACCAGGCAACAGTCTAGAACAGGGGTCCCCAACCCCCAGGCCACGGACTGATACCAGTCTGTGGCCTGTCAGGAACCGGGCCGCACAGCAGGAGGTACGTGGCGGGCGAGCGAGTGAAGCTTCGCCTGCCGCTCCCCATGGCCCCATCACGCACATTACCGCCTGAGCCATTCCCCCCACCATCTGTGCAAAACTTTGTCTTCCATGAAACCGGTCCCTGGTGCCGAAAAGGCTGGGGACTGCTGGTCTAGAAGGACCAGTCAGAGCTCTCTAAGGAACGACTCCCGAGATGCAGTATTACATGAACAAAAATGGGGCAGAATGTGTGCAACACACTTAAAAAAAAAAAAAAAAAGCTAGACATGCACACACTATCCCTGGGGCACGAAGATG